GTTCATGTTTTCCCATAAGTCTTCATTAAAACTCCAGGAGTGAGACTTTAGATCAGAAATTAATCCTGTCTCTCCTTGACACTTGCCAAATGTATACCCATCAAGCAGAATTTTTGCTTATTTTGTTCCTCTACCACTTAATTAGTTGATTTGAAAAATTCTAAAAAATTGTGAATAATTGATTCATTTTTATGGTGTTTTGGGGTCATACTACTTGTTCACTAATATTCATGTGACAGCCAGTATACATGAAAACGTACCTGGTACAAATTTGTGAATAATGTCGAGACCCCCCTCCCCCTTCTCTAGTTAAGAGAGAAATGTTCAGTAGAAAGCAGAAAACATACTGAATAACCAGTCACACACCATTAATAGTAAATAGTTCATCAGCTTTTCACTGACTATCTGGAATAACTTTCAAAAGGCTCCTAAATCAGTTAGATACTCCCAGAAATTCTACTTGGTCTGAAAACTTAAGCATCTGAACTATTAATCAAATAACATTCTGAGCTGTAAGGATTGTGAATCTCTTCTTCCCCCAAAATACCATATTGTAGCCTCCAGCTTTCCTATGAAAAATGGGGTTCCTTTTTTGGGGCATCTGATTTTTCACTCATTTAAATCCATAATAAAACCTCCTTTGATTTCAGTGGCTACAGAGTTGAGCCTTTTGTAAAATCATTCTTAAAGGAACAGCTAGTTTAAAAATCATTTTTAAAAAAATCCTTGCTTACAAATAAGTGTCCCAAGAAGGGACTTTAATTAACCTTAAAAACCTAAATTGTGTCTTTAATTGAACATAGGGTTGACATTCAGTAACAAGGTATTTCTGCTCCTGAGGATGTGACATTGCCCCCTGGTTGGTTGGGTTTTTTATTTTTTTTCCCCCCTCCTATTCTGCACCCAGAGACTTTCAACTGGTCTGCCTCTTATTGAGGTCCAGAATGAGATAAGTAAATCTGAATCCAGTTACCAGATTTGCATGACTACTTGAAGATGAAAACTGATAAGGGTATGGCTACTTTCTACAAAGTCAACTTAATCTCTGAACAGGCTGGGTTGAACTTTTGCTCAGCCCCAGAATTCTGGTGAAGAAAAAATACTCCATCTGTAATCAGTATCTTCAGTCGTTTTCATGAAAACAGTATAGCCCTTAATGTTCCTGCTAACTTTCACTCATCCCCGTGTTGGATTTACGGTACTGCAAGTGCATTATGTTACTTAAAATTGTGTCTTGATCATTTGGAGTAATAGGTGAATTTCTAATCTGTGAATGTAATTCCAGTTAAAAATACAGTAAACCATACTGTGAAGTGTTTTATTATTGCTATATAGCAGTTTCTTTGAAGAGAATTGTGACTTGGTGCATCACCCCTTCTCTGCCCCCTGCTGGAAGCACTGGCACCTGAAGAAAGAGTGGTCACCTGGAAAAGAGGGGCAGTGAGTTGAGACCACTGAACGGACTGGTTTTTGTTGTGCAGTTTAAAAAGACCAGGCATCTATTTTTGAGTTGAATAATTAATTGTTACTGCATTAGCAAGGGACTTGCTGCACAAGACTCCTTGCTTCCGATGAGTTTTGACAGTGTAACAATTATTATTGCAGTGTAACAATTTCTTTAAAGAAAAAGAAAAAAAAAAAAGGCTTTGTTTTATATCCAAAGTAACTTAGTAAATGCAGTGGCATTAAATAGTAAGAAAATACTGTCATATTGCTAGAACTAATTTGTGGATACTTTTCATCTTTAAGCTAAAGATTTAGAATTCCTAGAATTTAGATTTGAGACACTTGCAAACACGTTCAGCATTCTCTTTAGTAGTCTAGTTAGGGTACATCTATACTGCACAGTACTGGCAGTGGTGTGCGGTGTATGCATAGCCACATGCATCTGTGAAAAGCAAGCTGTGTCTATACTGCGGAGTGTAGCTACACAAATCAGTGAAAGGCTTTGGTGCTGCCTTCTCCTGCTGCCTTCCCCCTGCCCGGAGCCTTTCAAAGCAGGAGTAGGCTATGGTAGTGGAGAAGCAGCAGGACACTACACAGCTAAAAATAGCAGTGTAGACCAGGAAAGCACTGCTTGGACATGTAGAGAACTGTGTAGGGTACATACCCACAGGGTTCAGGCATGGCTTTACTTCCAAAAGCAGTGCTTCACCAGCTGCTATTTATACTTGTGCTGGGGGGTGGGGGTGTAGCACATGTACTCTACACACCACCTTAAGGAGAGTGCAGTGTAGATGTATTAATGGTCTTTTATTCATGCATTTACGGTAGCTCAAATATTTTCTAATGTCATTCTTCTAGAAATATCAGTTAATTAGCATATCTGGTACCTATTTTGGAAAATAAAGCTTTAACTAACTTTCTCGGAAGTCCAGTGCACTTATGACTTATGGTTGTATATCCTTGTGTGTTTCTTAATTTCCTGTCTCTTGGCTTTGTAGCTTGCACCATTAGCAGTTAGCAAAATCAGACATGCTAAGTAAAGTATTGGGAACAGGAATGTTAACATTTTAAAGGAAAATGAGAATTCCCCCCCCCCCATAATTTTGTTGGATAAATGACAATGTCAAACAAATACAACTACTTATAGAAGGTCCCTGATCAGGGTCAGGTGATGGATCAAACAATTGTTGTATATGGATCAGTTGATATTCTGCATATTATTCTGTTTAATATATAGGTGTTTTTACAGAATTGTTGCTACTTGAGTTAACAGGAATGTAATGCCCATTAAGAACCATAGGAGACAAATCTGTAACAGAGTAATCTTATTTTAAAGCACAAGAACCAAACTTTAGCAAACCGTAAACTGAGTGACAATCAAGTAACTGCGTTAATGGACAGCTCTCTGCTTTGTCCCATAACCTCTGGAAACATTCAATTTCTAATTTTTCCTTTTTTTAAATTACAAACCGGAAGAACTAAGTTATCACTCTGTTTTTGTTTTTGGTTTTTGTTTTAAATTCTGGCAGACTGACTGTTTAACTAGCATCCTCTTCCTTTGTCACTGCAGGCTGTACTTAACAGTAAATCTGTACATTAATCTCTGTACTCCTGGCCATTAGCTCGGAATCTCAGTAGTAAGTGGTAATGTGACCCAATGACTAAAAAATCAAGCCTCTCTGTTACCTAAAAAGCTCTGTTGGCCATGGAGTGTTCAGACTAGAGTTCCCGCAGCATGTGCGTCTCACATAAACTTAATTATCATGATGACAGGGTTATAGTGATATAACTTATAAAATATTACCACAGACTGAATTGCATCAGGATTTCTAAGAGGAAATATTAAGTGGTGGACTAGGAGACCTTTTGAGAAACCAAATGATTAGGTTAGCAAATACCTCCAAGTAGCAGATTGCAAACAGTATATTGAGGGATGTGTGTTTTGGTCTCATGTTGAAGATTTTTGAGTGAAGAATACAAGTGGGGAGAGGAGGAAGGAGTAAGACAGTAGGAAGTCAAGTTTTATAGTAACAACCAAGTAAACATTGAAAGAGCAGTCGTTCAATTTTGCAGATTTGCTGTTAGAAACACTCTGTAGCGATACCTGAGGAATAGAATGTCCTGCATAAGCATGACCTAGTGATGCTAGTGTAAGAGACTAAAATGAAACTAATTATACAAAGAGCATAGCTAGATACTAAGTAAAAAATAAAGAAAATATTTGATCCTCTAATCTCTTGTCAGTTTTAGTAATCTACAATGTTACTTGTAACAGGAGAATATTAAAATGTTTGACAGATGAAATTTGAGTTGCATATCTCTTTAGTCATAATACTTACTGTCATGTCCCTTTCAGATGTCCTTCATCTATTTCATGACATCTGTGGTCTAGCTTCCATTGTGTGTGTGGGGGAGGGCAGATGGGGCAGTGGGGGAAGACTAGGAAGACTTTTCACCTTCCATCTGAGGACCTCAACTTTGTAAATCATTCCTCTTGGCAGTCCATCAGAGCTTCTGGGCAAGATGCATTTGTTTTGACAATTAACTTTTTTTTTTTAAAAAATTCTCTTTAAAACATCTAGCTGCTACTATAATGGGCACTGTAGGAAACAAGTGAAATAAGCTCATCAATCCCATGTCAGGGATTTATTTAATCTTGCAGGAATTCAATGACTGTTCAAATTTGGTGGTGTTGACAGAGAAAACATGGTGAAAATGGGCTTTAGTCTTCTGGTTAGTCAGAAGGATGTTGCTATGTGCTAGTGCAAATGGATACACAAATTTCCTGGACTTGTGGATTGAGACTTGTGTTAAATTATGCTTAGTGTAGCTGTTTAATTAAAACCCCACCCAAAATGTGGGGGGACTTATTTTTAAAACAATGCAGCTGATCAGCTGACTGCCAACTTCATTCTACCCTGTGTTCCATTGATGTGTGTACACAGCTCCTTTTTAACACTAATACGAGAATACAGTGCTTAGTGTGAATGTTTCTGCTTAGGAGTGGGCAAATAGGTACATATAACTGAGATGACTTTAACTACAGACAACTGTTTGTTAGTTGACATTTGTTTAAATGTCTCAGAATTGATTTTGTGTGGATTAACAAATCGCTTGTGCTGATACAGGCGATGACTCAGTTGGTGACAAGGGACTAACCGAAAAGGTTAGCTAAAAGGCTTTTGTTTAAATATTTGGATACTGTGCGTACCCTGAACTCCTCATTAGATACTTCCTTGAAGATTTAAAGCTTTATATATCATGCTGCTGATAACATATTTAGTGGTGCTATTTCTTTCACTTTTAGTGTGACCAAAAGCAGCTTTGATTAACTTCCACATTCTTCATAAACATGATATAAGAATATCCTATGTTTTGTAGATTAATGTGTTGAAATTAAACTTCCGTAAATCTGAATTTACTTTTGTTGAAGGCAGACAATAGTTTTGTTTAAAGTTAGTGTTCAATGTCCTTGAAATATTTCTAAACCATTTGAGATAATAGCCATTTTAATTTTTCTCTTTTAGTTAACTTATCTTTTTTTCTCTCTTCAGTCTTCATGAAGAAATCATTGATTTCTACAAGTACATGTCTCCCAGACCGGAAGAAGAAAGAATGCGAATGGAAGTGGTGAACAGAATAGAAAACGTTATTAAGGAGCTCTGGCCGAATGCAGATGTGAGTAGGACTTGGCGTGCTCTAACAAAAAGCTTTGTTTCTGCTTGTGTCTTTGTAAACAGCTTTTTTTGTTGTTGTTACACTACCACTTTTCCCCGTTATTCCATATATAACTTTATGCTCAAATTGTGATATAGAAGATATACACTATTTCTATGGCATCATAGTTGAGCTTGGTACTTTAGACATGTACAGTAACTCCTCACTTAACATTGTCCCGGTTAACATTGTTATGTTGCTGATCTATTTGGGAACAAGCTCGTTTAAAGTTGTGTAATGCTCACGTATAACTTCGTTTGGCAGCTGCCTGCTTTGTCCACTGCTTGCAGGATTCTCTGAAAGAGCAGCCCCTCCTTGTGGGGATTAGAATCGGGTGGCCAGCAGCCCCTCCCCCCCCATCAGCTCCCCTAAATTCCCTGTAAGGTATGTGGCTTGGCAGCTGCCCAGCAGCAGTTCAGCTGTCCCTCCCCCCCACTGCCATGCTGCTCCTGACCTGCCCTCTGCCTTGGAGCTGCTCTCGGGAGCTTGCTTGGCGGGGGGGGAGGCGGGGGAGAGGGGTGCTGATACCAGGATGTCCCCCTGCTCCTGCCGTGTTCCCCCCCCCCCCCCGCTCTGTACCCCCTCTCCACAAAGCTGAGGAGAGGGACAGAGAGGAGGGAGCTGGCTGGAAGCTGTTGCTTCCTGTCAGAACTGGCTGATCTGCTTAAAAGGGCAACGTACTTGAAGTGGTGTCAGTGTATTTAAAGGGGCAATGCACGTGTCTCTCACTCATACATCCACCCCCCACCACTTTGGAAAGTCAGCACCTGTGCAGCTGTGTGTGTGCTGTCAGGAGGAGGGAGTGGTGTGCTCCAGCTGGATAGGGTGGGCTCATCATCATGTTCAGTTGTTGCAGGGAAGTGTTTGCAGCTATTGCCCTGCATCGGTTGTGTTTCCTCCCTCCTGTCTCAGTCCATGCTGCCTTGCAGAGTGTGAGGCTACATTAACAGCAGCCTATTAACCCTTGAGGGCTCAGCTGAGTGCTGGTTCATCATTTAGCAGCAAGGCATTCCCTGGGAAATATTCCACCCTCTTACTCCACCACCTCAACCAAGCTTCACAATCATTCATTGCTGTATACCATATTAAACTGTTGGTTTAAAATTGTTTAAAACTTATACTGTATATGTATATAATGTCTTTTGTCTGGCAAAAAAAAATTTCCCTGGAACCTAACCCCCCCATTTACATTAATTCTTATGGGGAAATTGGATTCACTTAACATCGTTTTGCTTTTTCAGGAACATAATTACAACGTTAAGTGAGGAGTTACTGTATATGAACAAATGCCTTGGTTAGGGAAGCTAAATTAGATATACTGCCAACAAAGGAAGGGTATGAGATCTAACCAGAATTATATTTGGGTTTTTGTTACCATGCATCTCGTTAGTTCTTAACTTTTTTTTTAATGTTACTTAAGAGTGTGAGGTAAGGCACAAGTGTAGGAGAACATGACTGGTGGGGGAGGCCTACCTGATTGCATTGAGGTGGCTTGTCCTGCTGGAAAAGAGAAGCTTATGTGCATACAGGTATAAGAGATGGTGTAGGAAGGAACCATGACTTAGATCAGGGTTTCTCAGGACAATTTTTTTTTGGTGGCCTCAGAGTGCGACCAACAACTCTTGCTGGCCGCTCTCACACTTTTCCCTCAAATACTTATTCGTTTTAGGAAAAACAAATAAATATGCACATATACATGTCCAAAATCATTGTAATTTATTTGTTGCTAGCTTGTAAGTCCTGTTGTTAAAAGTGATATTAACAAACATACAAATATCACTTTTCACAGCATACTTACTCAACCCCAGCAAAGCTGGGGACAAATTAAGCCCTGGATTCAGGGGTAGGGGGAGACAGCAGGAGCCAGGGGTGATTCGGGTGGGGGGTCGGGGGAGATAGTTGGGGGTCAGAGCCTGATGCCCCGTAGCCAGAGCCCAAAGTCCCATGGCTGGGGGATGGAGCCCGAAACTGCATGGCCACAGCCTGGGACCTGCCATTGCGCAGTCGGAGCCTAGGGCCGGAGCCCAAAGCCCCATGGCCAGAGCCTGCTGCGCCACCACCCCAGGGGTGAAGCCCAAAGCCTGACCCCCACCACCCCTGGGAAGGTGGGGAACTTACCAGCTGCCTGCTCCTCCAGCGTTGTGCCCCAGCTGTCTCCAGAAGGGGCAGGGCCCGACCCCCTGCTTGCAGCCCTAGCAGCCAACACCAAGGCAGTGCATCCAGGAGCAACAGTGGTGTAGATGATGATGTAATGCTGTAGTTCTCATCTTGTAAAATCTTTGCATGTGCTTTCAAATTTAAACTGTTCACTCTGTTTTTTAATTTTAAATAAAGCATTACTACAATAAATTAATTCCATAGAATGTAATTTAGAAATACAATATCATTTCACTTGCCCCAAGGATATTAGTTGCTTGGTGTTTTACTGGGGGAAGCTTGAGTGGTGCCTGGTCTCTGTCCATGGCTCTAGCCAGTGCTATTCACATTAACTTCACATGTAAGTTTTTGTTTGTTTGTTTTTAAAACCCTATAAATCTCAGCTGTGACAAATCTAGATACAGTATAACTTGAATTTGAAATTAACTAAGATTAAGTGTTCTTGTATACTTTGACACCAAAACACACAACCAATAAGGTGTAAACACTGTGAACAAGCATGTTGAAACCATTTATGAGCACAAACAATAAAATAAAATAGCGTGTCCCCATGAATGAAACTTTAAAACAAGACATGGCACATACATTGTATGCTTCCCCCATAGCATTCAAGAAAGGGATAAAAAGTTGATTATGTAAAACTATATATCTTAACCTGTAACTTTATTTATAGACTTCAGAAATTGTCATTTGCTCTCTTACTTGAGGGGGAAGTGCTTAGAAGGAAACATTCCTAATAAGTGAGAATTGTTCTTGGCATCAGCTGGGTTCCACCATAAGAAAGGCTTTAATTACACTGAAACTGAACAACATTTAGTCATTTTTTAAGTGAAGGCATTTAAAATAAAATAAAAGAACTTGATGACGTGAACATTAAATCTTGCTAGTATTGTATAAACAAAAGTTGTCATCCAATGAAATTCAGAGGAAAGCTTGTCACATTATCCTTAACTGTACTTAGATATTACACAGTCCTCCGCGTTGGTCAGAGAACAGTTGATGTTGCATACCTTGTGCGATTATGACAATACCATAGTTGGACACAAGATGGGCAGTAGTAAGCTTAAATCTATTTAATCTGGCAAACATAAAATTCACTGTTTTAAATGTTGGGGTGGGAGAGGAATATAAACTGGCTTGCAAAGGGTTCCTATTTTGCATTAATTGTGGGTATTGTCAGGATTTGTTTGTTAGAATGAATACCTCTGGGTACGTTGCATGGTAAAAGTTCTCTTAGAAACATTAGCATTGTGTTAATGTCTGCAAAATCCAAGACAGAAGAAAGAAGTCAGTAAGGCTTGGTCTATGCTAGCAACTTCTGTAAAACTGTGTTGCTCAGGGGTGTGTGGAAAATCTATACCCCTGAGCAATGCAGTTATATCAACCTAACTTCCAGTGTAGACAGTGCTATGTCGATGGAAGGGTTTCGCCCTTCAACGTACCTACCACTCTCAGGGAGGTGGAGTACCTATGCTGCTGACAGGAGAGGCCTTCTTATTAGTGTAGGTGGTGTCTTCACTGAAGCATTACAATGGCGCAGCTGCATCAGTGCATCTGTGCCACTGTAGGATTTTAAGTGTAGACATGCACTAAGATTGTAAAGATGTTAGCAAAAATATAAATAGTTTACATGCAAGCAAAAAAATGCACCTGCACCAACACAATAAGAATGCTGAAGTATAGTATTAATAGCACTCCTAGCACACTCCAAAAAGTTAGTGCTTGCAACACTTCTCTAAAGTAGATGGTAATATATATTTGTGGTAGTACAAAGGTATAAATGGCTTGAGAGCTAGAACACAAACTCTTTTGCCTGGATGTTATATCAGACTCTTTGATGCTTTTCTCTAGTATTATTATTTTTAAAAATAATTTCTTACACACTTAAGTATTTTTAAAATGAGGGATTTGTAATGGAAAAGCTGATGGAGTTAGAACTCTGTCACGAGTAGCACTTTAATTAGAAATAATATTTATTCTGATATTGTCTTCTATCTGTACAGCTGCTTACTGTCATGTATATTTTTAGGCCTATTGCTGCATTGCTCTATTTCTAATCTTCTTTTAAAGTTAAAGATGTAAATACTTGAGTTTGCCAGACTCCTCTGTTTTATGGTCATGTTAAATATTTCAGTAATACCTAAAACTACCAGTGGAGGGTAGCAATAGTCAAACTTTTCTGGAAACTCGATTAGATAATTGTTCAGAAATTTAAAAGGTGCATTCTAATGCCCTATTTTTCTGTTACAGGTGCAGATATTTGGAAGTTTTAAAACTGGTTTATATCTACCTACTAGGTTAGTACCTTTTCAGTTACTTCTTCTTCTACATTGTTTAGGCATATTTTGAAGTCTCTTCCTCTGCTGTTTACCTTTATGCCCCATTGCTGTATGTTGAATTTTTGTGCACTGAGATAGAATAATGTTCCTGGGGTGGAATATGCACTTGTCATCTTACTGTTTTCCTAACTACTGACTTATATCATATGTTTTGTATCAATATATATATTCAAAGCTGACTTGTATACAGGCATTTGTATAGAGTAGCTGTTTTTCAGTGATGTTTAAGATATAGTCTTTTTTAAAAGATTGCCTCATGTTTTAAAATGTCTGACTATCCCTTAAAACTGCTCAAGCCTGAAGGTAAATATTATACTTTTATTCAGCCCTCCCAATAAATAGATTGTAAAAATATAAAGCATGATTGATGGATTATATGAAATAGACACATCCACCTGTTTAGATCCTGCTTGCATTAATTTAAAATGTGACCCCTTTGATCGTATTATCAAGTATAAATTTAATTTTGTAATTAACAAGATTAAATCAAAGTAAAATTTTAGATTTCTCCCACTTCACTGTGATTTTTCCAGTATGTGATACCCTTTAAACCTGACATTTGAGGTCAAGTATTAAGCGATTTATATTAAAAGAGAAGCTGAATCCAGTTTCTAGAAGAAGAAATGAAAACATCAGCATATGACGTAGTCAGTTTGGTTGACATAAATGTTTGAAGATGTCTTTGTCCACAAAGATAGGGGAATAAAGCCTTTTGCAGAATCCAGGCTGCTGCTGCCTTTTTTTTTTTTAATACTGTATACAATGGGCCTAACAAAAGAGGAGGCTATTTTTTAGCTAACCACTTAAACCAAAAGAACTCTTAAAGCTATCAACATATACACCGGGGTCAGCAATCTTTCAGAAGTGGTGTGCCAAGTCTTCATTTATTCACGTTTTTGTGTGTGCCAGTAATACATTTTTACGTTTATAAAAGGTGTCTTTCTGTAAGTCTATAATATATAACTAAACTATTGTTGTATGTAAAGTAAATAAAGTTTTTAAAATGTTTAAGAAGCTTCATTTAAAATTAAATTAAAAGGCAGAGCCCCCCCGACTGGTGGCCAGGACCCGGGCAGTTTGAGTGCCACTGAAAATCCGCTCGCGTGCCGCCTTTGGCACGCATGCCATAGGTTGCCTACCCGTGATATACACTAATCAGATGCTGAAGATAAAGTGTGTCTATTTAGTCCCACTCAAGCTTCTATCACTGAGCAATCTAAAGTAGCTAACTGCAGACTTGGCTAAATACATTACTAATTTCCATCAAAAGAAAGTTCATCACAAGATCGCATTAAGATCTTGTATGCAGGAATTTGAAATAATTTTGCCAATTAAAAATGTAAAATATAAGTAATCTTCAAGCCCTAATGGTTACAGGATAAAGTCCTATAAGCAATTCAAAGGCTGTAGTTTATACTTTAAAGACCTTTTAAAAACATTTTTTCCCAGGGAACATTTCAGAATGAGTAATTTAGGGTTACCCTATTTAAAAAATAAAAAAAGAGGACACTCCACGGGCCCTGGCCCCACCCCCTTCTCCGCCCCTTCCCCACCCCAACTCTGCCCATTCCCCGCCCCTTCCCCAAAGTCCCCGCCCTAACTCCCCCTCCTCCCTCCCAGCCACGTGAAAAGGGCTGCCCGAGCGCTACCGGCTTCACGGTTTGCCGGGCAGCCTCCAGACCCTGCGCCCCCGGCTGGGCGCTTCCCCTCCCGGG